TATTTTTCCAAATCTTGCCGTAAGGAGAAGAAACCCAGGGAGCCTCCTGCTTGGGAAACCCACCACATCAGTGGATTTCACCCCTTTTTAATTCGTAGGCCTCTCCAATTGTTCCCAATGGGCCTGTGGCCTCCTGCACAGTAAGAACTCCTGTGGTGACAGCAGCTTTGCTGTGCGCAAGTGCTCCAGCACCAGGCATAGGCTGGCCAGAGCAGGTTCAAGGAGATAATGTGGAAGATTCACCTCTGAGCAAGAGGCATAGGACATCTCTGGAGTAGGTCAGTATTATGGTGAATCTTTGCTCAGTGAGGGAAAGATGGGTACATGAGAGTAGGTGCTGTTATGTTGGGGAAGCTGTTTGTGGAAGCTGCTTTGCAGCAGCAAAGAAGAGATCCTACAGCCTGAACTGTGGTCATTTATAGATACTTCTGTTTGCTGGAATACAGATACTGGGCTGATAAAGGTTGTTCTTGTGAGAATTGAGAGAGATGTTCAAGAGAAATAGTAAACCCACCTTATTTCACATAATATTGAAGATGTGATAATTTTTTTAATAATCACTCCACAACTTAATCATTTCTTTGAGAGATTTACAAATCCAATTTACATAAGCAATGCAAATGTGATGGTCTAAGAGTCTTTTTAATGAGGCAAATGTGCTCATTTATGTTCAAATCATAACAAAGACAGGGGGGAAAAAAACAGAAGCAGAACACCTTGCCTTTGCCAGTGGAAAATTTTTCACAGTAAAGTGTTGAACAAAGGCCTTCAAACTTCGTGGGGGGAACCCTTGCCTTCCACAGGCTTTCTGATATTTCCTGCACTTTACTGAAGGAAAGAGCTTAAATTTAAAGCAAAGTACAGACTGCATCTCTTGTTATTAGGATCTCATTGATGTCAATGATTAGAAAACTGCAGCAACAAAATAGCAAAAATCTTCATTCCTTGTCCTAAGTTCAGACATCTTGGTAAAAATAAGCAGTAAGTAAACAAAGCAGGCACGGTGGTGTTGGGTTAACAGTTGGACTTGATGGTCTTAGAGGTCTTTTCCAACTTTTATGATTCTATGATTCTATGAAACACATATGTTTTAAATAGTCTTCTTTAAAAATCAGTATTTTGAACAAGCTAGTTTTATTTCTGTATCACTTGTGACATTCTGAACATACTAGTGAAGTAATCATTGAGAATTGTCTTTATTTATTATTATGCGTGGGACTGGTAGCGTATACTTCTTCTATTAGTTACTTTTAACGATTGCATAATGACATGTTGAGGTGCAGAATTTTCATTCAGTAGCTGAGTATGTCTGGCTGAGTGACATAAAAGTTCTGTGGTTCGGTTGTTCCCTCACAGGAGATTTATCAGACAAATATTTTCCTGAAGCAGCATTCTATCATCAGTGCCACTCTCTCAGTGGCATTTCGTCAGAAAGTGTCACTACCAGAAGAAGGAATAAGACCTTGTCCTTCCACTGAAACATGGTCAAAATGGTGGATGAAAAGACCTGGAAGAAAATTCTCTTCAGCACAGCTGAGGACTGTTAGGGAGGCATCAGCCAGTGCCTCAGTGTAGTTAATACCATATTAAGCACAGCAACAGCTATATTCAGTTCTGTGTTTTTGACAGAATAATCTAGACCTCTATCACATGGAAGTCTGAGGCCAACCCTAGTATTCTGTATTTGGTATTTTTGGAATTCCTGTTTGTCTGCTATGGAGGAAAGTGGAGGCAAATTTCCAGTAAGTTATTATTGCTCATCAGTTTTTATTCCTGATGAATGAGGATGCTTCAGACCATAAATCTTTCACTGGTCCAGGCTAACAGTTGCCTTTCCTGGGCTGCCAGCCAGCATAATTTTGTAGGGAGAAATTACGCAACTTGATGAGAAAGAAGTAAATAGTCCTCTCTTAGCAGCTATTTGAAACAGCAGCTGTTTAAGGCTATTCAGCAATGGGGGATATTAGCAATATTACCGGGCAAACTGTAGGTGGTGTACCATATGCACATATTGCCACGCACTGTGTCATATTTCTCTAATGTGAAACTTTCTTTTCCTGGCAAATGTGATAGTGGTATTTATAGTGGTCACTGCTGAAGTACTTGAAGAGATTCTGGTAATCTGTCACCATGCAGTGTGGAGCATGGATAAGGAGTTGAGTGTCTAGCTCTTAATATTTTGTGCTTGCCCGGCCCACAACGGTGTCTCTTACTCCTAATACTAATAATATGTAGTGCACAAGATGCTAATATATGGAGGACTGAGTATGTGCAGGTATCTGCATGCACCCACGCGCAGGTCTGGGGCGTGATGGGGTTGGAGGACAAGCTTCAGGTCTGTGTACGACCGTGTGCTCCAATATTCATGAGACAAGTCACTGAAAGCAGCGTAAACATGTGTTTGCATGTCTCAACTTGGAGGCTGATCGTTGTTAGGGGTCCAGTGAAAGAGCTGCTGATATCTATTATTTCTTCACCCTCATTCTTATTTATGTAAATGAAACTAAAATAAGAGCAATTGTTCATTTTCACTGTTCCTCCCAGCCCTCCCTCCCTAGTTGCCACTTTATCCCCAGGTCACACTAATGCAACCTGTGGGATATAGTGAGCTTTGATCCAGGCAACTCTAAGGACCATTAGATCTAGAAACTCCCTTATTTAGAAAGCTTGGGACTCTCCTTTCCCAAGGAATTATGAGGAGGTTTTTTCTTAGTCTTGAGTAGATATGTGATGAGATGTTAAAATGTCAGCACCTTGATTTATAGAGAATATCTTGAAGTTATTTTCAAGTTTTTTTAAAAATTATTAAAACTAATTTTTCTGTCCCTCTAGAGCTTGTACATACTATTGAAGTAGTCTTTACCTGTGCAGGAATATAAAAAGAGAGCGATAACAAATTTTACAAGTGTGGAAAAGGGAAAGGAAAATCTTTAAGAGAGGATTTTTTCTCTAAAATGTATTGCAGACAAAATATGTTTGTGATATTAAATTTTTATTGGCTCTCTTTTCTGATGAACTGTATATATTTCCATTAGTAATTAATTCAACCTTACCAAACAATATAATTTATAAGACATAAGAATATATAAAGAAGTTAAGTGGATCATCCTTTATGATTTTCTAAGCTATTTTGTTTTTTACACCCGAATTAGCAGTGGTTGGGGTCACCCTAAGTTTGGTTCTTTGACGTTTTAGGCTTGCAGAAATAGCCATTTTTATTTTTCTTTCTATGAAATGAATGCATTTCAAAAAATGCCATGTGTTCTTGGTCTTAGTCTCCTGAATTTGCCTTTGCTTGGAAGATAGCACATATTTTGTTGAAACAATGGCATTTTCAATAAGCAAAGCATTTGCCCTAGCATCTGCTTAAAAGAATAATAAGAAAAATATACAAATTTAATAATGACCTGAACAGGTTTTTTGGCTGCATAAGGTAGTGTGAAGCGTGCCCTTTCAGTTCAGGAATGATTTTTGGCCTCTGGAAACTTGGACTATGTCCTCTCAGACCAGTGTGTGGCTGCTGGCCTAACCTGCCTCTTCCAGGAGCGCTGCCCACTCTGTGCCTGTTCGTCACCAGAGCATTTACCCTGGCTGCTCACCTGCCTGCGTGGGAGCCAGCCAAGCCCAAACGCTTTCCTGACCTGTCTGAGCAGTCATCTGGAAGGGGGCAGATGCCATTATTCAAAAGTACTTTGGTAGATGGGTCCAGGGGCATTAAAAGCTCCCCCCAGGAGCGTGGACCCTGCTGCACAGTTAGTAACGCACCTGTCCTTGAAGCGAATGCTTCCATCTCCTCTCTCAGGCAGTGAGCATATGGTCTGTATGACAAGCGGAGAGAAATATGGTGCCTTGGGGTGGGATGCTGCCATGGCCATTTTTCAGCTGCTCCCAAAGGGAAAGCAGCACCTTGAGTAATGGGGGTCCCCTCCTCTCTGCTTCTAGACCCGCACAAAGGGAGATGTCTTCCCATCTCTTGATAGTGTCTTACATTGGCAAGGATTTCACAAAGAGAGAGAGGACAAAAAAAAATAAATAAGGAAGACAAAAAGTCAAAGCAAATGCAGTGTGTGGGAGGAAAGATTGTCAGTCCCACGTCTTAAAGTAAATGCTGGGGAAAAGCTGGTCCTTGCCGCAGGGCCCTGACTGCCATCTTGGAGCATGAGGTGGAGCGGGAAGTTCGGTCTCCAGCCCTGCTCTCTGCCTGCCTTTCCTGCAGTACCTGTGGACATGTCTGCTCAGGGTGGCAGTGGTGACGGTGGTTGACTGGATGCTGTTTTGACACTGTCAAATCCTTTTGCACAGGTCACCATCTGCTTGGTGGTGAATGGCAGTTGAAAGGCTCTGTGTAGCCCATTAACAAATTCTTTTGCTGTCCAGACCTCTGAAGTATTTTAAAAGCTTTTTTTTAAAGCTCAAGCACTTTTTTTTTCTTTTTTTCATTTTGGTTAGTCTTTCCTGCTTCACAGCCCACTTTTTGTTTCTTGTCTCCTGGCAATGAATTAACTCTGATTAGGATGACAGCCCGGGGAAGTGGTAGACGTCTGGGGTCATGCAGGGTGTGGCTTTTGTAGGAAAGATGAGACTCCTTCCTAAAAAGCTCTCATGAAGTTGGCCTCACAGTATTTACTAACTACCTGTCTCACAGGCAACAGAAAGATTTGGCCTGGTCTTGTTATAGTGAGCAATTGGATGCAAATGAATTGATCTCAGTGGAGTTATTAACTGATACTGGTGCAACAAAACCACCATTTGCCCTAAATGTTACGAAGAGATGACAGCCGACATACTGAACAGATCTGCTTCTCAGGGATCTCGCAGGCAGGGGAGGTAGCCAATCTGTCCATGTCTCTTTGGGCCATCTGAGCTTCCCTGGAGAATTTAGATTTCCATCTAAGTTGCCTTCAGTTTTTATTCACATTGGCTTAGAATATGTTTAATGTCTTTTTTTTTTTTCCTGCAGTAATAGTAAAAATCTGTTTTTCTTCCCTAACTATGTGCAGGCTGGCATGGCTTTGACTTACGATCCAACAGCTGCTATACAGAATGGGTAAGGAATGCATGTTTTGTTATGCCTTTTTAAAAATTATTTTGAATGCCATCTTCTGTTTTCTCTTTCTGTGGTGAAACTTATTCAGAAGCAAATTCACTCAGTCATATTTTCTCTGAAGCATGTAATGCTATATTGTCCAGTTCTTCTTTTAGTTTCCCTTTTGTTTTTATGCCCACTTATTTGTAATATCCATTTGAATGGGAAGTTGTTTTGCCTAATAGTTTCCATCTCTATTTGGCAAGTGCTAGTGGATGTTTTTTTAATCTCTCTCTGACATGAAGTGGAAACCAGTAAAGTTTCCCTTTACTGACTTTACTGTTGTTAAAATAATCATTGAAGATTCCAGCCTGTTTTGGATAATAGAGCTGTTACTTCATCAGGGGTTCTCTCTACAGACTGGCTGGCTTCCATGGCATTGTCTAAATAGAAATGCCAAAAAGGGAGAAAGACTTAAATTAGGGTGTAAGCAGATGGGATTTAGGCATAAAATTCTGAGCAACGCTCTTCTTCATTTCTCAACTACTCTTTGCCAACACAAAGAATTGTAACATTTTTTCAAATTTAGCAGAGAAGTGACATCATTGTGTTATTTACCTGCATGATTACATTTCCAATTATTTCATGAGCTAAAAAAACAGAGCCTTGAAATCTGGCTAGCCTTTCAAATAGGTTAACAAGAATTTGAAGAGAAGCAGGAGGTTTGGCCTCCTTGACTCTTTGACAGTCATTCTTTGACAGAGAGATGTTGGATATAATTATCAAATTCCATGCCTATTCCCGTCTGTGTTCACCAGCTGATGGGGAGGATGTACTGATATAGATGAGAATGGGTTTATTTGTTAAATATTTGTTAGGGCCCTGGTAGTTGAAGCATTTAGGAAAAAGCTAACATTCCCAGTAGTTTAAAAAAAAAATCAATTGTAATAGTCAGTGTATTTTCCTTAATTGCCCTTTCCAAGTAGTAGCTTAATAGGATGCATGATATTCCCATGTTGTGGAGGGAGCGGCTGAACCAGAGTAACTCAGAAAAAAGGGAGTTTGCAGAGTTGTGATTTCAGAATCCTCTGGTTCTGTTTCCCTGTTCTGACTTACCAAACAATTCTTTCTTCTGTATCATCATACTTTTCAGCTAGTGATGCATTATAGGCTATAAATAAAACCATTACTTGTTCAGAGTCCACCAGTGTTTCATCCAGACAACTGGCTTTTATTTCAAATGAGTTCCTGCATGTCAGCTGCGTGAATCTTTTGGAAACTGTAGTATGAGTGATCCTTTGAAATTAATATCATTTTACTTCAAGAATAATTTTTTTTTAAATTATGGAATTTGTCTCAGAATCAGTATTAAAGAGTACCCATGCTGCTCAGGTGTTCAGGCTGCTCAGATGTTTTGGTCACTCAATTGTTTGAACACACTGTCACTGATCATTGGGAAAAGTAGTAGTACCCTACGCAGAATTTCAGCTCTGTGGTTTTTTAAATGGTCTTTTATTTGTAAAGCATGAAGTAAACTACAGCACTGTATATCTCTCTAAGAGTGACAATGAATTACCGCTTTGACATATTTCTTCTTTCTAGAGTGTCAAAATATTTTCAGTTTCATCAGGACAAAACCATCTCATTCAAAATGCTCTTATGGTGAGATCTTGGTTGCATGCAAGATCATGAGGAAAACCTCTTACTATGTGGAAAAATCAGTTTGTCCACCAAAAGTTGCACAACTGTTACTCCGTCCTTTGATTGCATCTTTGAAATGCTGTTACCTGAGGATCACCAGGACCCTTTGGTTCCACAGTTTCATTTTAGCTCCCCAGGCATTCACTTCATAGTCTCTACATATCCTGTAGTTCTAAATTTTTACTATTTTTCATAAGCCTCTTTACTTACAAGTACAATAAAAATCTAGCTCATGGGTTTTGTTTTAGCTACATCCAGGAGCACCTGGATGCTTGTAAAATGTGCAAATGTGATTTGTTGCTCACAGACCCAACACATGGGTATCATAGCAGGTGTGTGGCCACGGTGAAAGAGAGTTAAAGGCTCTGAAGTGCTATGAAGTACAACAGGGTGACTTTGTCATCAGTGAAGAGGTGACAGGCAAACACGTTGCTGTTCCTCATGGTGAGGACAGTCTGGAAGTGAGCACAAAGCTGCTGCTGGCAGCTCCCTTGCGTTGACGGCATGCCCATACCCACGCTGGGGGTAAAATGCTGCATAATACTTGGCAGTAAGGTGGACCGGGCAGCTAAGGTTTGCATGGAGCAATGTTACCCAAAGGTCTGTGAAACAAAGACTGCTTCCTTATAGCAGGCCTGATCGGCGCAGTCAGGTTAAGCAGGCGTTGACCCTGCACACAGCTCAGGACTTGTTGATGTGCTGTGATAAGCATGAGTCGCTCAGCCCTTCGGGTGCCCACCAGCAGGGAGAATAGTGAACTGAGGCTGGAGATGGGAAATGTAAAGATACCCAAGCCAAGGTGAAAATTCAGCTTAGATATGAAATACCCATAAAACTTAAAAAGAATGATTGACTGTGCATGCTGACATCTATTTATAGGGTTGATAGATGCATTTTGATGCATGTAAGTTGCTAAGTCCACGCAGAATTGTATGGAGGATAGAAGCCTACTAGAGACACGTGTCTCTGCGGGTGTCACAGCTTGGTGTTTAAAATTCACAATTCCTTAAGAGGCATGGATTATATTAGGTTTTGGGTTGGGGCATAACCAAACCTCAGGGACAAATCTGGACTGTTGTGTGTTGTCCAGATGAAAAGCTGAGTTCTTGTTGCTCATGGTGTAGTACTATCACTTTCATTACTGTATTACTGAAGAGAGTGAGAGAGAGGCGTTCACTAAAAATAGCTAAGATTTTTTCTCCACAAAGGAATAGATAATTTTCTTCTGAGTCTATTATGTTGTAAAGCTTGATTCTCCATTTCATTATATTGTTTTTATGTCCATGTAACTCTGTTTAAGCATCCAGTGGAGTTACATCAGTGTAAAACTGGTATAATGGAATGGAGAATCCGGCCCGTAGTGTAGCATTGCAGTATAAGTTACTGAAGACATGGTAACCACACATTTCAGTAGATAAGCTCTTTTCCCCTGCCAATCTCTCTGTGCATTTTTTGTTTTATAATCAGCCTTTTCTGAATTGCATTTACAAAGGTACTCAGGTTTTATTTTGGGGAATAGTGTGTCTGTTGTAATATGGTATTGATTTTTCAATTTGTGGTATTAATATTGTTTTAGTGGTATAGTGCACTCATACAAAGAACAAAATAGAGCTCTTGTACATGCACTGTAAGGATGCTCATTTAAAATGTTCCTGAGGCTTGAGTCTTCCTGGCCATTTGACTAAGATTGTGATGTACTGTATCAGTTTAATATCTGATATCTGGGGGACTGTACTGCGCATTTGCTGACCAATGGGCTCAATATTCAGATAGGTCTTTTTCATCTCAAACATCTGACTCTGTGGCTTATTGCAACAGAAAATTGCTGCCTTGATAACACTTGGTAATACTCCTACATTATGTGAGCCCCAGGATACTATTTATGAATCTAACTTTTTCAGTACTGCCTGCAGGCATGAGGCTTGAGCAAATGGTGTTTATTGCAGTGCAAATAGGGTCTTGCTCTTGTGCAGATTCTGTGTGGAAGCTTGCATATTCCCCCATAGGATGGGAACCATATGGATTTTTTTTTCTATCTTTTGGCAGGGAAATAGCGACCAGACGCTACAGATAATGCAGTCCCCAAATGCGGAGGGAGGATTGATGTGGGAGGGGAGTATGTTCTTTGTCTATTAAGCAACAGAAACTGTTCTTAAAGCATTGCCTGTGTGTGCCTGATGATGTCCTGGTACTGCGGTTCTTTTTAACATCTCTTAAAGACATTTTCTTTTGAGACCTTTATAAACCCCACTTCATGAACATCCAGGAACATCTTTTTGCCTCCTAGTTATGAGTTTTCCCTGTGCTTATGGAATCTGGGCATGCTGAAAAGGTCTGTTTTTAATATAAGAGCACTGTCCAGTTTGCCTTGTCCCTGCCTGTCTGTGCTTTTGCTTCTAGCATTGCAGTTGCTGCTGAGGAGCAAGGATACCGACTTACGCCTGCAACAAACTCTATGGGCCAATATAAGGATGCAAACTGCATTTGCGGAAAATGCAGCTGCTGAGACTTTTGGAGAGCTCTCCTTAGAGCCCACAGGTCAACTACCACAAAGCCTACAGCTCTCAAAGTACCATATCAGATACTGTACATTTTAATGCCAGGAAACTTGGGGGCATAATTGAACAATATGTCTAAAATGAGTCAAAGCCAGTATAATTCATATCTCTTTGCACTCCACTTACTGATGTACATGTTCTGATGACTAAGAATTCTGTATTCCCTTGGACTTATTTACAACATGCATCTTCCACCTCATTTCAGCTCTCCCTGAGCCCAAAGGAGAAAAACAAAAAGGGAAAGCCTAACATTGAATATGGTAAGGTCACCAGCCACAGATCTTGTTGGGATGCTGTAGGATTTACACCAGAGCAGGCCACTCTTGATTTTTGGCTCTTGTCTTTTTATAGGTCCCCAGCATGTCACTTATGCTGATTACATATTAGGACATTAGCCTGTTTGTATGTAAAGGGAATCTGGGGAGACGCCTCTGTGTCCCATGGGTGAGAGCATGTTGAGCCCTCTTTGTGAGTGGGCCCTGCCAGGGTGGTACATGGCTGCAGCACTGTGGCAGGTTGAGCATCCCCTGCCCCGGGGAGGCTCCACTTGAGCCTGTCCCCAGCCACGACACCCTTGTCCTCACCGCACCACTCTACTTCACACATGGCAGAGAGGCCTTCAGAATACGCTTTTTCAGTTTTGCTCTGTTGAATTCCCTCAGGCTATATCCAAATCCTTTTTTCAGACTGCTTTGGGCACAAGGGGTGATGTGGCAGGAAGACAAACCTTTGTCTCTGGGTGTAAGGGATTCCTGATTGCAAAATGTTTGACCTACACCCTGTCACAGTGAGCCACATTGTTAAACTTGGTTTATTATTACTAAAATTGAGATATGTGAACTGGGTTTTCTCACATTGTCATTTGCTGCATCAGATTTCCTTCCTTTCTCTTCTTTGACGCAGTGGTGCATGCATTTTCACGATACAGCTGAGTGTCCTGATAGTATGTTTCATTTGATGCTTATCTGAGAGCATTCCAAACTGCAACAGAGAAAAGGTATTGGCAGGGGTACTGGAAGGGTTGTATTTTTCACATTACCAGAGTGTATATTCTGTAAGCCTATGTACTATTCAGATAACTGCATCTCTAAGCTGAAACTGAAATGGTTAGCTGTCTGTCAAGTCCTTGGCTTAGCACACATTTTCTGTAAATTTGGTAGCATTTTCTGGGATTTATTGGAGAGTTTATTCCAAAGAGTCAGCATTACTTCCAAATGGAAAATTGTTTGTCCCCTGCACTTGTCTTTGTCCGAGCAGCTCATACATGGTGTGAGTGCAGCATCAGTGCCAGGTTGATGGACAGAATGAGAACAGAATGTATCAAAATATGTTGCTTTCTCAAAAGAGTTTTGTTTTTATACTGTCCTTCAGTTCAAGAGGTTTGTATGTATTTACATTATACATTTTACCTATAGAGTGAATTCTGTCAGTCTGCCATTGACTGTTTTCATTTGCCACATGCAGCATTTCTTAGTTCATCATCCACTTAGCAACAGCATAGCCAAAGTGATTTCTGGTTAACCTTGATGTAGGAGAAGACCCCTGAAACATGACTTAGATAACATATGCATCATGCTAATGCCATAGATTAACCCAGCTACTGCTGGGAAAAACCTTTCCCCTCCAATGTTCTATGAACTTAATGTTTGATACAAGCAGTGGGATACAAATGCCTCTTAAGTTCTCATAATAGGATATATATAAAATTGGGCAAAGGCACAGTTTTAAAATAGTCTCTGTGTGAGCTTTGTAAGGGCAGATAAATGTTCCTAAAATAGCAATATATTTCTATTAAACAAAAAATCACTCAGACACCACCTGCTGCTTTTGGCATTTTAAAATCTTATTTGGAATAGAGAGAAAAAATGATTGCTTCTGTGTCTCCCTCTCCCCTCCTAACTTCGAACGTTTCTACCCAACCTTCAAAGACAGCAGCCTGTTTTTCCAAGGCTATTGGTTGGATGAAGTTGGTGGTTATTTGAGCCTGCATCCAGAAAAAATGCATCCAGTCTGAACTAGACTGATTAGTCCTAAATCCGGGATGCCAGGGTGACCAGGAAATAGAGCACTTGTTTAAACACCAGTAATGATTTTTTTGTTGCATGGCTCTCACGGAAAGCTACTGTTGATTGCCTCAGCATGGGGAGGAAAAAACATTAAAAGGCAGGGAGTGTAATCCACTTCACTGTTACAGAGGGAGCATATGTGCAAAATCTTCTGTTACTTGTAAGATTGGTGCACACTATATGGGAAGGATCTGCATGGGGTTTAAATCGGACAAGAGAACACTGCACAGGAGTGTGACTCTTTCTCGGAGTCCAAATTATCAGCATTTTGACAGCTGTAAAACCACAAATATTATTTTTTAAGCAATTTTATTTTTCTGGCTTACAGTTAAAACTGAAAACAGGGCAAATGCAAAAATTTTTACAAGCTCTCACATATTAAGTACTTTCACAGTTCACCAGCAGTGGTATTTTCCAAATGATAATTTTATCAATAATCATTAACCCACAGGGAAGTAGAAGAAATACAACATTTATTAATATCAAGCAAGAGATAGTGCAACTTGTGTTCATAGCATGCAACAGTGGAAATAAAAACAACTACATCTGAGATTTCCAGTGCTGCCTGGGGCATTTAGACTCATAATTTGTGATACATTTCACCAGAAGGTGGGTTTTTTGCTCTCTGCCTAGATGAATATGAAAATTTCAGCCAGAGTTTTTGTAGCCATCCCTTAATAAAATAATTCAGGCATGTATATGGAATGTGTTATTCTCAGCACTGAAGCATTAAGATCTGAAAAGAAAACAGTACCGCATGTAAAAATGAAATCAGTAATATTGTCTTCGATATCGCGTAAGAAATTTCCTTTCCCAAGCTAGCACTCTGGAAAATCAGCTGTCTTTGCATTTCAGATAATTACTTCTTGTGTTGTGAAGTTCTATATTTGTGCTAGTTGAAGTGAAAAAAATATGCTTTGTGTAAATATTCCTCCTCCTTTCCATTTTCAAGTTCTGTTCAGTGGAGCCATCACAGTTTCTTTATTGTGATTCTGGAAATAGACGGACATAATTACCTGTGTAGACTCTTTTTGTCTTTGCTCGGGAGGCAGGGAATTAGTCAGTCAAAGCCTAGCAATCAAAAGGTTCAAAAAAATCTCGCTTTTGTTCTTTGTTTGCAGATTTTATTCCTCACCGTACAGTATTCCAACAAACCGCATGATTCCACAGACATCAATCACGCCATTCATTGCTGCTTCCCCTGTCTCTACATATCAGGTACGTCAGATTTGCGCTTGTCTGCTATGTTTCCCAGTTAATTATGTTTTGGATGTGGATGAAGGCAGAGTTTATACACCACATAAAATTGTCTGAGTGCTTGCGTTCTTGAGTCACACTTCAAAAAAAAGGCTTTCTAGTAGTAGTCAGCTATCATTTAGCGTAGGGTTTGAAGAGCCTCCTGTATTCCTTACACTAGCCAAGAAAGCCATGTTAATTTTTCTTATTTCAATCAGCTTCTCTAGTAAAAAGCATTTTGCTTCATTTGCAGTTGACATCAGCAGAAGCTTGTCGTTCTTTTTGAAATGTTTTGTCATTTTGGCTCCCTTTCATTAGCCAAAAGCTTTTTTAAATGCATTTTTTTATCATTTATGTTGACTGCATTGTATTTTGACCTTTTGACCTCAGCTGTATTTGCTCCAGTAACAGCATCTTTTAAAAGCTTATTTTTATCCAGTAATCCCTGACAAAGTAAGTTACTTGAGGATAACTGTCCTCATATCCTTCTTTAGTCTCCCACATGTTTTGTCGTTCAGAATTTGTCTTTTCAGCATATCCCTCACAGATCTCCACTGGGAAATTATTGCCATGCTCTGGCTTTCTGAGATGGAAGTCAAAACCAGGTTGTATAGTTTTATTATTAGCCGTTCTCTGGGAACATTTCACTTTACTCTGAAGCTGGTCATTGGCTATACATTTTCCCATTTCAGTTATTTCTGTCCTAGCATCAGTGCTCTTCCAGTCCTGAGTCCTACCTGACATAAACTACCCAAACTTGCAAAGCTGCATAGTGGATTGTTCTTAATGTTAGCGTTGATTAGTTGGGGGGTTTTTTTTTGAGAACGTATGCTACTGCTTACAGGTAATTCTGGGAGATTGCGCTTACTGTGTTTTAAACTTGGTCTTCAAAGATAAATGATTCTTGTAATTTTCTTTGACTTTTGTGTTATTTGATTTTAGATGGCTGTATAACGCTTGCCAAACAAAAGTTGTTTTGGTGATATAAATTCACTAAAGTTCAGTAAATGGCAACACCAAAGAAACATCAGTGCAGCTCACATGCACTTTTCTCAGTAGCAAAGCTGGCTTGAGAGTTATACCTCCTCCCTCTTACTCAGGCCACTGAATTCAGGCCACCCAGCCACTTGTTCCCATCACTACTCTGCAGCTCACAGTTGCTCCCCTGTCCCGTCCTGAACTGAACCACTGCATCAGTTCATGGTTCGATGCATTTGCATGGTTTGATGCTTTTGCACCAAAACCATTAATTTGTTTTTCGTTTTTTTTTTTAACCCGTATCATTCTGTGTAGCTAGTTTGTAGTGTAAGCCCAAAGGCATATGCCCTGGCACAGAGGAGGAACTGCAAGGGTGCAAAAGTGGGAGCGATGAACAGCAGCAAGCTGTGGAAGCTCTAATATATTTTAACTAGCGGGGATTCCTGACACAAAATTCTGTAGTAGACGTGTGTTTGCGTGAGTGTGCGCTGGTTTTGGTTCTAAAGACATTTCACTGAACTTGCTTTTCAACAAAACATCTACTTTGATAAACTTCAACAAGTGTAGAGGCACACAGTTATACAATTGATTCTCACTACTTGCTTCATGAACAAAATCACAGGGAATCGGGACCTTATAGTTTTCTCCTAGTCATCCCTGCTCATGCGCAGTCTGAGACGCCACATGGCCATCTCTGCAAGCTTGGGGATAGCTAGTGAGTTGCCCGCTGATGGCTGTAGCACAGCTAGATTTTTGTGTTCTTCTGTGCGTTGTGGTGCCCAGACTGATGCAAAAGTAAACTGGGATATACAGTTCTTGGGGCTGAGTCTGAGTTATGATAGCGTGTGGGCCATCCATGCTTAGCACAAGAGGGAGTTACGGCTCAGAGATGCCACCACAAATGCACGAGAACTCTGTAATGCATTTATTTGTTAGTAAAATTGGTATATTCATGAAACCTGTTACATGTCAGTCACAAGGCAGAACAACAAAGAAAGACTTCGGTGAGGCATATAGAGTTCTGGTGGGAATGGACCCCACAGTGCCCAAGGTAACAGCTGATCCTGGGGGCAGGGACACCTTAAGCCAGCTTTGCCATGGCAGCTTCCAATTAGGATAAGCTTCAAAAACTCTGAATTAGATCTTCAGTTCTTACTGAAAACGGAATAAATTGTTCTGGGATCTCTGAAAATGTTATACCTTTGAAAGTTCATACAGATTCTTTTGAAAATAAACTCAGAATGTTTTATGTCTCCTTCACTGTCACTTGGACGACACATTCATGATTATATTGATGGATGAAAGCAAACAATACAAATAAAAAAATAGGACAACATGGAATATTGAGGACTGCTTTATGAGATAAAACGAAGTGGATCATAGAAGTGGTGCAATCGCTTAGAATTTTGACTTTGGTAGAAAACATTATCAAATGAAATTTGAAAGCTTTTTCCTTTGTCAGTAACTTTATGAAGCATAAATGAATTTTGCATTGAGTTCCGTGGCTGAAGTCTTTTGCCAAAATTAGCTCTGTAGTTGTAATAGAAAGAATATTTTCAAGTAAATCTTTGAGTTCTGTTTTAAACTTTTCTGTGCTAATTAAAATTATTTGATATGCAGGTCCAGAGTACTTCATGGATGCCTCATCCGCCATATGTTATGCAACCAACAGTAAGTGGATACTTGCTTATATCCAGCTAAAAGTGCTTACACCATAGCCTCACTCTGCTTGTCAGCCTCATTAAACTCCTAGGTCATGTAAGAGCAGCCAGCTGCTCCCTTTGACAAGACCCCTCTGCTGTAAAGATCCTGCTTCTTTAAGGAGCACCATTTGATTTAGTGAAAGGGGGAGGATGGGTGATGTGTTATCTAATTGCATTGATTATAAGAGAATAACAGGCTCTAAAGTGTTGCTTCTGAAGCTTTGCTTCAGGGACTGCAAGATAGCTGTATTCCTGCATACTTTGAATTTCCAGGATCAACATGTTACCCCTCCCTTATATGCTTATCCATCAAAAAAGTCCTTTGTAGTTGTATACACTTTAAAGGATCCTCAGTGCCTCAGTAATGCATTTCAAGTACTGGAAAAGGGTAAAGCACAGCTGTCTTACAGAGTCTCTGCCAAATCTGAATCTGGTTTATGATTTGACCAGTCAACTCTTTTTTTTTTCCCCTCGCTGAGTAAATTGTCATCTTTCATCAGTTTATAACTACTACTTAAAGCTGCATTACACTTCTACCAACATTCATTAGAAGCAGTGTGGGTGATATTTGTTTGCCTCACAGAACAGTTTTGATGCACTTTGCCTAAATATTAGCGATACACCAGAAGGAAACAACATACTGAATCCCACTATGTACAGATTGCTTTAGTTTCGTTTCCTACCTTTGATCAGTTCCTCAGGTATGGATCTGCTTAACAGGGTCATTAATTAAAATTCAAATGTGTACTCCATGTAAGCATTAATACATTGATTTATATCAGGGGATAAAATTAAAATGAAGATGCAGAGTCTACAATTGTTTGTAACTCACATTTGTGTTCAAATATTTTGATTTCATAATAGAGTAACCTCTGGTGGGAGTTAGCTATACGACAATATGGATATAATTATACTGCTACATACCCATTTAGTGGCACAGGACTCTCATCTCAATTTGAAGCCCCCTTCCACATCCCTCAACTCTTTGGAGACAAGTTCTTCAGGTTTTTCTCACCAGGCAATGACCATAGTGTGGGAGTGACCATCTCCTGGAAGCCTAGTTCCCACCGCTGTGGTGCTGCGCCTCTCCAGACCCTGGTGAAAGTTTCCACTCAATGGAGTAAAGCTACTGCTATGTTCCTTGTAGGGAGACGAGCTGTATCAAACAAACTCACAGTTAAAATCAGTCCTGTATTCTAATATTTGGATTTAATTGCAGACCACAAGTAATCTTAGATGTGTGTTTATGATGAGTTGCCAGACTTGTGGAAGCCAAAGAATCTCTGATCCTTGCAGAAAGACTCTCTTTCTAAAAGGACAACCTAAGCATTTTACTAATCCCCATTTCTGTGTGTATGTGCGTTCGAGTTTTATTTGACAATGTTCAGCAAAGCGTTTTTCTGCAGTACTAGAAGAGGTGTTTTGGTGTGGTAATTGGATGCATTTACCCCTTGGTAAAGGGCTGTGAAGAGAAAAATAACTTTCATAGTGAGTGGCACCCTCAATATGCCAAGTTAAATTTGTGTTCATTGCCAGCCAGAGAGTTGCGTCAATGAAGGGGCGTGTGCTTGTAGGTGTAAAAGCAAAAGGACAGTGGGTAAGCAGTGTAACGTTTCAGTTCCAGTGTCACTGCCTTTGTGGGTTACCTCCATGTGTTGTCTGTAGCTGTTCCAGTCTGAAAGACTGCATTTCCCAGGATTATGGTCTTAAATAAATGGACATGAGGCTTTTAGTACTGAAGAAGTATAAAAGCAAAAATGCAGAACTACCATTCCCCAGGTTTCATTCAGAGGTGAATTCTTTATTAGAAATGTCTGAAAAGTTGTCAGAGAGTTACTACACAGAGGACTCAGGAGGCATCAGAATTAATGGCCTGTTTTGAAAGAAAATAAAGAATCTGTGTCCATTGTAAGTTCGATGTAGTTTCATGCTTAACTATAGACTCTAATCTAGGCACCTCCATAGCTTAAAAAATTAAAAAAAAAGAAGAAAAGATTATGGTAAAGTTGGCAGAATTTAAGACGTCAGTTTTGGTAACCCTGTGAGCTGATGAAACTGGGAACTTTCTAATTTGATTAGATTTTGTTTCTTCTTGTAACTTAGTTTGCCATATTATTATCTAAATTGCCAGTGCTTTACTTCATATTATTTTATGAGATGATTGATTGTGGCACGTGATGTCCCACTGGAAGCCAGCGCAGATAAATATTCCATTCCTCTTGCCCCAGGAAGGAGAATATTTTGTTAAGCCTCTATTATTCTTTGTGAGTAGAGATGAACTCTTACAGAAAGCACAGTTTGAATTGCTCAAATACTGGTGGTTAATTCTTTGTTTTGATTGTAAGTATCCACTAAATCATAGCTTTTCATTTCCGACAGAAAGTCCTACTTGATATTTATGTATATTTTAACACAGTGTAGTGTCCCTCATGACAGAAAAATAGGCAGGACTGTGCCATAGAGGAGACAAAGGAGATTTTTCACTCAGCGTGCTGTGCGCAGACGGGACAGTTTTCCCCAGGCTGGCAAGCTTGCCGGCAGGAGGGAAGAGCTGTGCCTTCCGGCGCTACCGCCCAGCGTCTGCCTGCCTCTGCTCTTCCTGCCCGTCGCGTCGCCTTTGCCATCTGCTTGCCCACTCATGTAAATACCGTGCTGCTTCGTCAGTGAGATCCCCTGCAGTAGGGTAGGTTGGCCTGCTGGAGATGTTGCTTGTTTGTTTCCCTTTATGTATCGATTTCAGCCACATTTTCCTGATGCGTGCATGTGTGCGTTCTGTATCCATTTACTCGGTAGAATAAAAAAACCCCACTATAGTATAAGATTGTACCTCCAATTCCTTCCATAGCTTTTTAACTACAGCCAGATAAACCTCTGACCCTAACAGATAGCAATAACATATATATTAGCTGGAAAATAGTTGTGTATATTGCTTTCCATTCCCCAACCTTGTTTGTCATCTTACTTTTGTGATCTCCTCAAAAGCAGACAGCAACCAAAATCACGTTCTGTGAGGATAAACAGTCAGGATTTTTTTTTTCCTAAAGGGAGAAAGTCAAGGACTCTGCAGGTATATCATAATTTACTCATGACTTTCCTTGTATCTTTTTACCTTGTTATCATAGGTTCATGCCAATGAGCAATGGCAAATAGAATTTTAAAAGGGTTTTTATTTTTTGTTATCATTCATTTTTTCTAGCCTTATACTAAAAGTCATGGAAAATTAGTATCAAATAGCATTGCTATGTCAGAATAAATGGTATTAAATATATTTTTCTGCTGGCATGGAAGGGTCACATGCGAAAACCTCCCACATCTTTGTGCTTGCACAACCTTCGGGGTTTTGGAACACAGGATTCCTGAATCATGTGAACATGATGAAAAATTTACCTTTAGGCTCGTGTGCGACTCAGACACTTGAGAATATACCTTTTGTAAATGGAGCCTTCACCACTTTTTGACCATATTGACCATTATGACCACATTGACTGCACTGTGAGTTAAGTGCACTTCAAATTTGCCGGCTTTGTTGCTTTACCATGTGCCCTGGTCCCTCTCACTACCCGTAGTGAAAGACAAGCTCTGGAAAAGTTATGGCAATGTGAGGTTGGCATAACAATTAGTGCACTGATGACAGTCTGGGCTCTGTTTAGTTAACTATAGCTTTCTAAGTACAGTGCTCGCTCATCCTTACTTGAAATGGGTCTTGTATTTCATTACTGCCTCAGGATAAGGATAGATGGATAGCGATGACAGAATCAAAACATAAATGGGATAAGAATTGTTCTGGGGATTTATAACATTTGCCATATTAGTGTGCTTTTCCTGTAGTCCCTGAAGGCTGTCTGACAGTTCAGGGAAAACTTTGAAAAACATGTTGTTTGAAGTCAATTCACATATAGATAATCTTCATTTGTATTAACCGTGACATTTGTGTAAAACCTTTTTGATTCAAATCTTTATTACAAATAATACATGTAGTTTTCCTCTCTAAAGGCAATTTTTTTTGTTTTAGTGAGCCAACAGAAATGCTGTACACTCTGCATGCACTGGTTTTACACTTACCCTCTTTTAGATACAAGTAAAACTATGTGGCTGTAAGTAGTCACTGTGTATGCACAGATAGATATTCTTGTCAGTCTGGAATAGTTTCTGCATAATAGCTACAGGAAGAATATGCTGGTGGCAGCAAGAGGGGTGCAAGCAGAGCAGCATATGGAAAAACCTACTATTGATAGTGATAAAGTGCATTTGGGAGAACTTCTCTTCTGGATATTTCTCAAGCCCTTACAACCCTTTTAGAAAGGTCAATGTCTTAAGAAACACCCTTATTATTTTTTTCTGTCTTCCTTCCTCTGGCCCATGGCTGAATGTAATCTGTCTGTCTTTAAAAGCAACAACAAAAAATTTTCTTATTTCAGAAGCAGTGTAAAACCTCTGCTTTGGTGAGAAGCAAGGCTGAGTAAGGACTCCAGATTCTTGCCTTTTGGTTGTTGTGCATGAATGTAGCATAAAAAGTACAAACTGTCCAACTGAAATATATCAGTTTTCATTTTCTCACTAGTGACTCTGTTGTTTTGGATAATACCCAAAATACCACAGCAGTTTCAGTGTTTTGATTCCTATCCTCTCGAACAAAGAAGTTCTTGTGCTCCGTTCAGTGACCCTCTCCTGAGACAGCTTTCTCTACCTCCCAGTTGTTTCTCTACCTTTTTAACAAACAGAGCTGGGAGTCCATCTTGCATTTTCCTATTTGAGTGTAAGGGAACAAAGTATGTCCTCTACAGACAGTTGGGTCCTGCCTCCGAGATGAAATGTGAGAGTTCGGCTAGCTGGTATGAAAAGTAAACAGGAAATAATCCTTAGAAATTGGAATCTCCAGCTAGTCTTTTAACTTTTAGCTGTGTATTTTTAAGAGATCCTTTGAACATGAACTTACTTGAACTTTTAAGGCTAAAGAGTTTAGAGGTT